TGTGTCATACATATGCTGTTTGGGGACGGCCGACAGTCTGGAGCCATAAAGCTGTCTGATAATAAAAATAACACTGCGTTAGAAAAAGAAGCCAAGCAGTTACAGAAATGCACCATAGTGAACTCGATTTTTCTTGAGATAGGATCATGTTTGAAATCTCTACCAACCTTCTCCCTTGGAGCCTTCACATGAAACATTTCGTGAAACAGACCTCGAAGCCTGCACTTCCTTACTGTGACAGTAAGAGGTTCTGCCCTAAAAAGGACTGTGAAATAATGATCTCAAAGCAGGAGAGTAACTGCAACCTGCAGGCTAACTGTCTGACTGGTCAGAGAAAAGAGGCCTTTGATCCGTTTCCACAGGAGGGAGAACACGTGTAGATTTCATTGACAAGGAGTAATTGAAAAATAAATCTGACCATACCCACCGGCATTAGACTTCTAAGCGATTAATTATTTAAATTGTTTGGGATTAAAACAGAATATTCAGAGTAGTATTGATTATACTGAAAGTCAGATGAAAAATTAAGTTAAACATCAAACTTTAAACCACATTTATAAAAAGATGATATCTAGATTCTCCACAGACACAAACTCCTTTTTTCAAACCTATCTTGTTGTGAGACAGAATGTCATTATCGATGTCTGAGACAGTGGCTTAGAGAGAAACATGGTTGAGATCTTACTGATAATAAAATCCAATAATCTCCTTTGCAGTGAAAGATAAGGAGGAGGGTCCGATGGACTCGGAAGCTCGGCCCATGAAGGATGAGACTTTTGGAGAGTACAGGTTTGTCATCTGAATGCAAATCGTCCTCTGGTGTTTGTTTTATACATCATTTAAATCCCAACTCCTAACAAAGGCCTGATTCCCCTGCAATGCTTTTCCTAACCCTCTGTGTCCCTCTCATTGTCCCTCCTCTCCCTGACGCCTGCTCCTGTTAAGCAGATCTCTAGAAAGGTATGCTGCGATGTTATTTGCTAACCCAAACTCACTTATTTATTATCCCCTGGCAATGCTTGACTTACCCACTGACTTTCCTATAACATTTTGTACAATCATGTATTATGCTGTATTTGGGCTGCAACACAAGTATTCCCCCTATCATTTAATCTGATGTTATTTTTCCTTATCAAAGATCTTGTTTGGTCCGTCGAAAGCCCAAACATACACATTTGCTAGAATGTAAGACCAGTAGTGGAAGAGATACTGAGATATTTAACTTTAGTAAAAGTAGAAATATATCACTGTAGAAATACTCATACTACATATACACATACAGGTAAAATCTCATACTACTACACATACAGGTAAAATCCCTGCATGCAAAACGGTACTTAAGTAAAAGTATTCAAAATGTAATTCAAGTTTAATTTACCAAAGTAAATAAAGACAACAATGAAAATGGCCAATTTAAATACAATATATTACATATTTTTTTATTATAATTATTGATTAAATAATGTTGCAGCCCATTTAATTACATTTTAATTTTAATTAAAGATTATATTTCATATATCTCTTAACAAACTGCCAAGTACCTTGTTAATTCCTTCTGATATAAATAATAAGATCATAGTTTTTGATTGACTATAGTTTGTATAATGTATACTTACGTACATCACATGTATTCCTAAGAATTATATTAAGAATAATGTATTTAGTTACTTTCCATCTCTATGTAAGACCAAGAAAAGCAGGACATGAACTATCTCATTTTGGAATTACTTAAAAAAGTTAGTTGAATATCATAATATTGAATCTACTAATTCATTGTTTTGTTTGTTTTCGTTTGCACTTGTTGCCGCTCTTAGTTAACGTATATTCAGCTTGCATGTAGGCATATCGCGGGATGTTTTCAGAGAGAAAGATTTCGGAATAATAATGTCACCCTTTTTTACATTCCAAATAATAATATGTCTTGCTTTTGACCTCCTCTGTGCTATCACAACCTGTAGTGACCTTGAGGAGAAGCGCACTGCCAGCCAGCCGTCCCTGGGGGAGGAGAGCAAGCTGTGCAGCGAGGACAACCTGGACTTCAACGGCAGCAGCGCCATCACCACGGAGCTCAACATGGATGAGTCTCTGGTCAGTCAGTTCAGCCGGCCCAGCGAGGGTGGGGATGCCCTGCATGGCCTGCCAGACAACTCCCCGCTCAACCCCCACGCTGTCTCCCCGGCTACCAACGGCATGCCCAACTCAGTTCCCATCCTTGATTAAGCCCCTTCGCATCCTTTGGGGGCCGCCAGACCTCAACATGTCAACACTAATGTGCCCATACGCTCCTGTTCCTTACCGACTTGCTGATCTGTAGTTTACCGACTTGATACACAATCAATATATTGACTATCCAGATGCCCCTGGCAGTCATCTGATCGACTGGACTGTTTTGACCAAAGGCGTGTCCAAAGTAGTGGACAATGTGATACAAAGTTTGACTGACCTGAAGATGTCTTTTGACCCCCCACCCCCCCCGCATCCCTCCTTTTATCTGTCTAGTTTACATCATGACTAACACTCATTTCTCTCCCTTTCTTTCTCTCTGCAGACAACTCTAAAGAAAGATAAAGACAGAATGTGCTACAGGTAGAAATATCAGAGGGGTTGTAGGGACGGTCCTATATATAGATGCAGAGTAGTGCATTGAAAGTTGAGGCTGATGGTAGAGCCTAGTGCGGGGAAACAGACAGCACATCCTGCTGTCAAAAGTCTGATATTTATCAGGCCTTATATTAATTCTCACATTTGTATTTTCTTTACCATTTGACGTCTCAGATTGTACCTCCAAGTGACATTGTTTTCTTTTTTCTTTTTTACTAATGAGTCATTTTTGTTATCTGCTATTTTTTATTTATATCATAATTGTTTCATATTGTTTTCTACACTATTTATATACAACTCATGACTTCTCTTTATTGACATATTACAGAGATCAAGATGTTTTCATTGAAACTAAGTTAAGCCAAGTTTCTTACTATAAATAGCATTGGATGCATTAAGGGGAACTTGCTGTGAACACGCTGAGTAGCATCTGGTGTATATAGCTGCATCTACATCTATCTATTTAGCCATAATACAGTATTATAGATATGTACATGCTCCTTATAAGTTCCTGTGCCTGCTGGGTCTGCATAGAGCACCAGATTGATGTCATTACTCTCTCGCCTTCCCACCAGAAGTGTAATGTCATTATTGGAAATGATATTGTAATTTTTTTGTGTCGAGACCTATGTGTAGCTTTCTGTATGTGTCTTTGTCTCTTTCTACACTGTATTAAAAACATTGTTGTCTCTAATTAACAATCTTTTCCTACCTGTTCATCTCATACTTCGCTAACTGTTTGAGGAGCAGTATTTATGTATATTTACAGATCAGAGAGTGGAGTCTTGTGGGCAGACACTCTCATGTTTTATTTTCAGACCCTTTTTCATTGCAAGTTGATATTGCAGACAGGTGTAATTATTGCCAGTTGATGTATAATTAAGGCAAGCAGTTGGTATTTACATCAAACACAGAGAATGTATTCTTTTCAGAGCTGGGCAGACATTGTATTTACATGCTACTGATTAAAAGAAGATCTGAGCTACAAAATGCTGGAGTGGTTATGTGAAGAACCGTTTTTTTCCTCCACAGAATGTAAATACAACCCTTAAAGATTGTTTTGATGAACCCAACCATGTTTGATATACAAATGTGAAAATGTGCAGGTTTGAAACCACTTAACTTAGTTTAAAGTGTTGCAAGTTGTAATTTTTCTTCTTTGTACTATTGCTATAAATGCAAACTTTCCACTTTTGACAAATAATTGCAGTGAAATTTGGCTGTTTTAGCAAAAATAAATGTTCATGGTTGAGGTGGGGAAAAAAATAAAAGGGGGAAACATTCAAATTGTTCTGTAGATGTTTGCAAACATATTGAAAATCCAAAACAATGTACATTAGTGTCATTTAGTGATAGTAGTAGTTCCATTTCAATAAAAGCTAAGATTGCGTTTATGCCCATAATGCATTGCAGCGCAGTGAATATCTGTGGAGTTTCAGTCTGATGCAGTTATGAGATGCAGTGAGCTGGTTTGTGCATACCACAGGGAGTACCTATATGCAACGTTGCTGCCTCAGTTCTCCCTATCCAAATAAAAGCTTGACACTGGCCAAACACCACCTGACAGTCCCTGAGGTGAAGTATATGGGATGTCTAAACAGGCTAGTGGCACTGACGGAGGTGTGTGTATTAAACTCCCTACTGTTGGTTACACAGACACACTCAGGACAAATAAAGCTTTTTCAAAAAAATTATTCTATTTTCATATAGGAGTGATGAAGGCTACACAATATGCCAATATTCTAACTTGACTATCTGCTGCTAAACATCTGTGTTTGTCAGTGTTCAGGGCAAATGTTAGCTTTGAATGAGGAATGAGTGTACACACACAGATACTCACTCGACTGCCACTCTTTGCTTTTCATGTGTCAAGGGGAAAGCTGAGGACACAGGCCTTTGCTTTTCCGCTCTTGTTTTCCCCCTTTTTTAATATCTCAAACATCAAAACCTGTAAAAAAAAAAAGTGAATTGGTTTGATAAGAGCTGCTTCTTCACAACTCAAAAAAGCGGACAGATTTTAAAACAACAATGCCTGAGTAGGAGGGGAGTGGTGAGAGAAATAAGGGGAGGAAGGAGGAGAAGGGAGTGCAGCCGGGGTGTAGATGTGCCTCTTTGTGGAGAGTGGTGAGCACAATGGGACGGATGGTATCTTCGGGTATCATTGCTGAACGACAAGAGTTGGGTTGAGCCAATATAACTGTAACTGCATTATGAATCTACCACTGTAACTGAATTTATGAGTGAAAAATAAAACATGTCCACTACAATCTGTACCAATAAAAGGGTTCCTTCTTTGTCACAAGTATCTGGGAATAAAATCCATGCCATGTCACTTTGAATTCAGCAAGTATGACTTAATGAAGATTCAATTAACATTGAGTGTGAGCAATTAAGAGATTTTATTATCACATTGTCAGGGGGGGGCAGTGTGGGGGTCAGCGGGAGCTGGTGTTGAACTGATGATAGTAGTCCTTGCTGGGTTTGTTGGTGTAGAGCTTCTTGTTCAAGAACTCCTGACTGGGGACACGGACACAAACACGCAGTGAGAAACTGTTTACAAAGACTGTAATCTTAATCCAAATTCCACTTCATCACCTATACCCAGAATACATTTGCTGACTAGTGACCGAATAGTTTTGTTTGTGCTTACTGTTCCTGCTGCTCTCTGGCCAGCTGCATGTTGTAATGATCCGTCTGAATCCGCTTCTCTCTCCTCAGCTCTTCTGCTCTCCTGTCCTCCTCCTCTGCTTTTCTGGACAGCTTCAGCAGCTGGAGTTCCCAAGCTGCATTCTGAATCTTTTCAGCGTCACGTTGTCTCTAAAGATGGCAAGAAAACAAAGTTCTAAATAATCAACCTGAGTGGAAGTGTTAGGACATGACCAAAAGGCTCAGGGTCAATCTGAGGGGTTTTAGATGGTTAGAAGGACAAGAAAGGAGAACAAAACATATTTCTGCTTCATATAATATGCTTATTTATAGATAATTACTTTTTTCTCTATTCTTGGGTAAGAAGAACTGATTTTTATTTATTTATACTTCTAGTATGTCTTTGGTCTCATCCTGTCAAGATATGTTTAAATGTACTCAAAGGTTATACAGGCCACAAAGGGTCAATACATTCGTTTGCTGGTTCTGGGACATTTTAGACTATGTCTAACACAGATCATTTGTTTAGGAAGAATTATGTTCCTCCCTTCGCTAATATGCTTTTACTTCAATTTGACACACATCTGTGGTTTTATTTGAAGGGATCACAAGTCAAAAAGTTGGGAACCACAGTCCCTTAAAGATAGAAGCAAATACTTCAGAGGTGCTAGGAGTAAAGAAAGATGGGACTCGACGATGAATCGCTCATGGTGCCTCAGTACCTCTCTCTCCTGGCGCTGTTCTTCTCTCTCCCTGTGGATGGCGCTCAGCTGCTCGGGGCTCATCCCCTTCCACCTGTCCACCAGGACCCGGGCCGCTCTCCTTCCTCCCAACTCTCTCTCAGCTGCCTCTGCACACTCTGTCATCATGTCGGATGTCAGAGTGTGCTGCATCTCTGCACGTTTCTCCATTTCCTCTCTCCTGTGCTGCTCCTTCAGTCTCTCTGCCCTCTCAGCAGTCTTTAGGGAGCAGGACATGGTGAGCATTATTACCACTGACCCAGAAACAGCTGATTGATCATTCCCTCTATGGTTTAAAATAGCAAGAGCTTCACAAAACCCAACATCTAATATGTGGTTATAAAATAGAGGAGCCAGCCATTTGGTGAATGTTCTCCTGAGAGATCCACTCAGTTAGTTATATTTGCTTGTGCATTGTGCATGTGAGTGGTTATTAGAGAAACCACATAATTGTCATGAAAAATACCATTACCTGAAGGATTTATAATGAGACCTCCCAATGGAGGACTCAGCCGAGTGCGTTCAGGCAAATGAGTGGACAGCTAAATGGGGGCTTTTAAAATCAGACAAGGCCCACGCATACATCAAAGCAGTTAAACCATGCATGTTGCTTGGTATCAAATGATATGATGGCCGCCTGCCTGCAGCAAGTGTGTGTACGCATCACTTCATATTTTCAATTAGCAATTTTAATTCCAAAATCCCATGTGAGAACAGCATGTCAGGGCTCAAATCCCCAGTGGATTTTGCTTTGAGAATCCACATCAGCGGGTGGTGTGTGTGTCCATCTGTGTGTGCACATGCGTGTACTGTACCAGAGCATGATTGTAGTTGTCGAGTGCGATGCGGGTAGCTTTCTTACACTCCTCGTCTAATGCATGTAGCTGAACCCCCCTCAGGTCCTGAAGCACCAACTCTTTGTTCACGATCATCTCTGTGACACACACACAAGTTGCAAATCACCTACTGTGGGTTTTTGACACCTGCATTAGAGGGGAAACTATGTATTCATAGTACAGAGCTCTTCAATGACACACTCACACATACATTACAGCTTCCAGGGATGTGCATCCATCAATGCCACCTGGCAATAAGAGCTGTGCGTAGGAGTATGTGATTGTTTGTGCAGGAAAGCATGAAGCATGTGTGTAATTTACAGAAGCTATAGGGTACAGAATGATAGCTCATCAGTGTCTACAGTGTGTGTGTGCTTGTGTCCACCTCTTTGCTTTACTCCCACGTGCTTTCTCTCATTGTCTTCCTTCTGTGCTCGTAGATCTCTGACTGTCTTTTTCATTTGTTCTCTCCTCCTTTGCTCCTCTCCAATATCCTCTCCCTGTACATGAGTACACAGTGCTTAATGTGGGAGACGTGATTATTTAGATAACATTTCCCTGGATTTTGTTCCACTTGACTTTCATGCAGATTAAGCACATACCTGAAAGACTGTCATACTGGCAGGCCCCAGTTTACCCTCTGGAGTGGTGCTACTGAACGCCCCCTTCAGGCCACACTTGAGATCAGCATCTCGTGAGTCCTCTACACGCTGATGAGTGGCCCAATACTGGGTCAGCTCAGCTTGCAAAGTGTCTTGTTTCTCTTTTTCATCAATGTCTTGCTGCAGCAGAGCTTCATCGTGATACTCTCTCAGCTTATCTGCAATTCAACAAAGATAAAGACACCTGGGATGAAAACTCATTAGGCCTAATGGTAAATGTCATTTCGTAAAAGGAGAAGGGCTATGACAGTACTATTACAGGGGGACTCTCAAAAAGCATGATCAAATGATTTAATTTCAACCGCTCCCTGTCTCTCATCATTCCCACAGTTTACCGAAAGCTTTGTCTCGTTGTATCTCCATGTTTTGCTGGTGTTTTTTCTTCTGAACCTGTTGGTCGAGAGCAGAAACATCGAGACCCATCACACGGAGCCGAGTGTCAAAGATCCGGGCCTTACGCTCTGTTTCTGCAGACCTTCGCCTCTCCACAGCATTTTCTATGGACTGGTCTAAAGGCAAATCCACCTTGTACATTTTTCTATGAGCCTGGACGGGAAAAGACACAGCCCTGATTATTAAGGATATTTTCTCTTTTAAGGATCACTTTGGTGCAACTTTATTTCATCAATGAAATCAACATCTACAATATCATTGTAAAAAAAGCATCCAAAAAGATATCATAGTATTTATATCACTTTTTGTAATGCAAGTCAATTGTACTTGTATTTCTAAAAAAAAATGGTTATACTGCTCAGTTTAAAAACTTTGTTATCTTCTTAAAACGATTTTATCTTTTTTTTGTTTTAATGATTTTTCCTTTTTCTATGTCAACTGGTAGGCCCTACTTGTAAATACTCCTTACATTATCATTGTTTTTAGCAGGCCCCATGTTTGTGATGTGAGTTTGCAAGTCAGTTGTATATTCATTAGGTACAGTGATCTAAGATCTAAATTCACAGCACAGCACTTACCTCTCAAGTTACAGATGTGTCCAAATTATTTTTGTTAATTTTGGGATTTAAAGCCCATATGTAGCTCCTCAGCTGGTCGGGTCATGTTGTGTTTGGATGCATCCAGTAACCATGGTAACTCGTAGTCATTTGCTGCACGCTTTGTGTAATGTTTAACATAAATCACGGATGTAGGTGGATAACCTGCCCAAGTTATTTACGCTCTCCAGAATTCACATAACTTTTGTATAAGCCATAATAATAATAATTTAACATGACTGGTCAATAACGGCTCAAAAATCCTGAGGTCTCAGTGTGGTCTCGCGATAAACCGCGAGGTTTCATGTCTCGCGCGCTCCGGCGTCTTCCTGTTGGATTGTAAAATGGCGCATTGTTGTCACAACTGCAGCGCGTCTATTTTCTATGGACTAAGTAGCTATTTAGATTACTAAACTTAATATGCACTCCATAATGTGACATATGCTAAAGTCAGCAATAGACTGGACAGAGGGGTTCATTCATTTGCGTGCATACTTCGTCTTTGAGATTGCTTGCTCGGTAAACATTATTAGCATTAGCTAGCTAACATTTTGTGCAGTTTTTTCAAGACAGCGGCACAAATCCAACGAAGATGGGTTATTTAAAACTGATCGAGATCGAGAACTTTAAGTCGTATAAAGGAAGACAGATCATTGGACCTTTTCATAAGTTCACGGCTATCATCGGACCCAATGGATCTGGTATGTTATGATTGCAAATATTAACCCGCGGCTAATGCTAATTGCTTGTTAGCATTGGCTAACGGTAAACACGTCTGTCTCTTTTAATATCACAACATGTACTTTATGCACATAATGTATGTCTGACTTGCCAAACAGCTGTTGACTACGTGTTAGAATATCTATCCTGCCATCTAACGTTACCATGCTGCACAATGTTGTTTATTTCAATGTTTTCTTTTATGATTTGTGACTACCTACTTCAACACTGTTCCATGTGTGCATATCAATTACTGCTGTACATGACACATATTTTTTTTCTGTGTGAACGTTTAGTAATATCACATTTTCTCTTACAAAGTTATAGTTTATAATCTTTGTGATCAAACATTATGCCCAGCGTAATTAAAATAGAAAATAAAGACCCCTCCTTTGCACACCATCCAATGGAGTGTCACAACTAAAATCAGTCTTCAAAATGACCAGCTTTTAATCGACCCCTGTTTAACAGGAAACAATGTAATTCATTTTTAGTATAAACTGTGTTTCGATTTTTGGAAGTAACTTAAGATGTAAATATTGTTGTTGCAGGAAAGTCCAACCTTATGGATGCCATCAGCTTCGTGTTGGCAGAGAAGACCAGCAACCTGCGAGTGAAGACTCTGAAGGATCTGATCCATGGAGCACCTGTAGGGAAGCCTGCTGCGAACAGAGCCTATGTCAGTATGGTGTACCAGGAGGATAATGGAGAGGAGCGCAACTTCACAAGGGGAATCATTGGTAAGATTATTGAGGGCCATGTTATGCATGAAAAACATTAAAACCAGAAATTAGAAGGCATACACTTTACAGCATTTAAAACAACTTTTACTTTAGATCAATAGTTCGATTGTTCCATATGTCAAAGAACAGATGTTAAAGTGCTACTGCCAGCACTCTTCATAATTAAGGATCACATTTTCAAACCATTCAGTCAGAAACATTACACTTTGCTACGCAACACATTAAAATATGCAAATATATGTTTAGTATTAGAAACTTCATTGGACAGGTTTTTTGAAAGACCCCAATGCCATCCTGTATGTGCTATTTATAGGCCAATGTTTGTGTTTTTTTATCTCCTAACGTGCATTTGGTATTTGCATCAGGTTCCTCCTCTGAGTACCGAATCAACAGCAAGGTGGTGGGCCTGCCTGAATACAGTGAAGAGCTTGAGAAACTTGGCATTCTGATCAAGGCTAGGAACTTCCTCGTCTTTCAGGTGAGAATCAAATCTCTAAATCTTAAATGTTTTTATTTGTAAGACTTGTTGTGGCATTTTCACAACCAAAATTCCCAAATGTTCCTTCCAGGGAGCTGTGGAGTCTATTGCCATGAAGAACCCTAAGGAGCGAACAGCTCTGTTTGAGGAAATCTCTCGGTCTGGAGAGCTGGCCCAGGAGTACGACCGCAGGAAGAAGGAAATGGTGAAAGCAGAGGAGGACACGCAGTTTAATTACCATCGTAAGAAAAACATTGCTGCTGAGCGCAAAGAAGCCAAGCAAGAGAAAGAGGAGGTATGTACTGAAATAACATTTACTTCTAAGCATTTGTATCCTGCTTGAACCAGCAAATAAAATGCTTCTTGTCAGCAAAATTCACTTTAGAGTTTATTTACCAAGATATCCTTGTGATTAATGTTGCATTATGATTACCTAAGTTGCAGCAAACAATGTCTTGTCTGAAATGTTCTGTATCCCTAACTAACGGTCATTGCTGCCTGTTTTGACCATGATACTAATGAAAGGATGTTTTTCTTATCTCAATGTAGTGTTCCTGATTAAATAAACATCAACATTTTGTAAAAGATGTATAATTGACCTTACCACATTCTCTGTCTGTCTCCCATCAATCCTCCAGGCTGAGCGTTACCAGCGTTTGAAAGACGAGGTGGCCAGGGCTAGTGTTCAGTTGCAGCTCTTTAAGCTGTACCACAATGAGACTGAGATTGAGAAGCTGAACAAAGAGCTGGCCCAGCGCAACAAGGAGATCGATAAGGACCGCAAAAAGATGGACAATGTGGAGGAGGAGCTGAAGGACAAGAAGAAGGAGCTGGGCCGACTGATGAGAGAGCAGCAGACCATTGAGAAAGAAATCAAGTAAGTGACATCAATATTCTTAGCTCACTTCTCAGGTGACTCACTGTACTTTATTTAAAACGTTGGGCTTGTATTAATCACTTGACTCCGCCCACAGAGAAAAAGACTCCGAGTTGAACCAAAAGAGGCCGCAGTACATCAAGGCAAAAGAAAACACCTCACACAAGATCAAGAAGCTTGAGGCAGCACGCAAGTCTTTGCAAAATGCCCAGAAGATGTACAAGAAACGCAAGGGGGACATGGATGAGCTGGACAAAGAGATGCAGGCGGTGGACTCGACCAAGCAAGAGTTTGAGGAGCGGATGGAGGAGGAGGCGCAGAGCCAGGGCCAGGATCTCACCCTGGAGGAGAACCAGGTCTGATTTATGTATACTTTATTGGTTTTTAATACATGTAGATTTTATTTAGTTGAAAATTAAACACTACACTTACAGTTTCGTGCAATCCACCGTCAGTTCCCTCAACAAACTGTAGGGATAACACTCAATGGATTCATATGTTTGTGACTGTGTGTGTGTTCCTTATGGCTATGTTTTGATATTGATGTTCCATAAGTGTAAGCATACTGTGAAAATCACATTCCTTCTAACAGAGGACAATAATCTTTCTGGACTGGTTCTAATTATTAAGTTAGTTATTCATGATTTTTTAAGATTGCATTAAAACGCTCTAAGATCCTATCTGACTGTATAGTGTTCGATATGGCTATCTTTTTTGGAATAGGCAGTCTTGGCTTCTCAAAATGAATTCTGTAGCTCAACATTAAAATGGTGGTATATATAGAAAGCTAGCACATGCAAATCCCAGGGTTAGTTATGCGAGTTGTATCTCCAAATATTTTTTAAATGTCACTAAATCACATTAGTTTTAAAATATAGATGGCTTTGTATGACCCATTGCTCCTCTCTCTCCCCCCCCCCCAGGTCAAGCAGTACCATCGTCTGAAGGAGGAGGCCAGTAAGCGAGCTGCCACCCTGGCTCAGGAGCTGGAGAAGTTCAACCGCGACCAGAAGGCCGACCAGGACCGCCTGGACTTGGAGGAGAGGAAGAAAGTAGAGACGGAGGTAAATAAGATAACGATGGCATGTTAGACGCTCCTGCGACTGAATACATTTGATCTGATTAGAATGCTTACGACATACATTTTGTTGTTTCCCTTCAGGCTAAAATCAAACAAAAGATCCGTGAAATTGAGGAAAACCAGAAACGTATTGAGAAATTAGAGGATTATATCACCACCAGCAGGTATGCTGCTAATATTTGTGTTGTGTTTGAACAGTGTTCAGTTTATTGATCTCACAGGTTTCTCAATTATTATTTTTAATTCACTCTTTTTTTTTTCCTGTTACTCCTCAGGCAGTCACTGGATGAGCAGAAGCGCATGGAGGAGGAGCTGACGGAGGAGGTGGAGGGTGCCAAAAGGAGAATTGATGAGATCAACACAGAGCTTAACCAGGTGCCTAATACACACACACACACACACATATCATTAAATGAGTTTAAATGGTGGCAACTTAGCTGAATGTCAATGATTTCAGAGTAAGAGACCATTCAGTACCTTATAACAACAACAACAACAACAGTGTCATAAAGCAAGACTTAAACCGGCACCGCCGAAGAAAACGAAAGGACTCCACGTGAATCAATAAATGTTTCTCACAGCAGACATTTCCACATACCTGGGAAAAACAAAAGTGTGACGAATGAAATAAATGATTGCTATGTTTGCCAGTAAACCAAGCATGCACTGACACTAACACCTGTGTTTGACAGGTGGGCAAATGTCACCTGGGAAAAGTCCATATCTAATCCCATTATTATTGGCTTTTGTTGTAGGTGATGGAGCAGCTGGGAGACGCCAGAATCGACAGACAGGAGAACAGTCGCCAGCAGCGCAAGGCGGAGATCATGGAGAGCATCAAAAGACTCTACCCTGGCTCTGTGGTAAGGCAACTGTCATAGTATCCAGCACAATCGTATCATTTTCTTATGCTTGGAAGACTTCTGTCTTCTGTTTCCCTACTTCTAATAATTCAAGGGTTGAATAAACTCAGGTTGTTAAAAAATATGCCACTCTGTCTCTCTTTCTGCAGTATGGTCGTCTTATTGACCTGTGCCAGCCCACCCAGAAGAAGTATCAGATTGCTGTGACTAAAGTGTTGGGCAAGAACATGGATGCCATCATCGTTGACTCAGAGAAGACGGGCAGAGATTGTATTCAATACATCAAGGAGC